AGATGAAGTGAGCCTTCACCTGGAGAAGAAGTAAGGAGCCCAGGGAAATTACAGGAGTTGGTACCCAAGGTTTGGAAACGGTCAGAGGGGATGTCCCCACCTGCAACACATGGGCAGGAACACAGATGTCCAGTATGGGCCTCTCTGTCCCCCCTTCCTATAACATTCTTATGTTAATAAGTAGTCTCATTTGTATTTTGAAGGAATCGGGGTACAGTGGGTCTTAAATCAGTTGAGGGTGTGCCCGAAAGAGCTGAGGTTACTGGAGTCATTGTCAGCAGAGGCTGGGTTGCAGTAACAATAGCCAAAGAGGAGAGACTAAGAAACTTCTGCAGATTTTAGGTGATTTATATGCAAAAGGGAAATGGAAACTAACAATATCAAATTGTTGAGACCAATATGTGCACATATAACTATGTGTATACACATTTATATGTTTATATATGTATTTATTACATACAAATGAATTTTATGAAAATCTCTTCTTATGAATCTAGTCTCACAGGCCCTCTCAGATATGGGTCAGGCTCCAGTTCTTACTCTCATGAAGAATATTAAAAAGACAGCTGCGCAGCCTAGCCAGTTTGCTCAGTGGTCAGAGCTTCGGCCCGCTGGCTGCAGAGTCCCGGGTTCAATTCTGGTCAGGGAGCATGTGGGAGGCAACCAATCAAGGTGTCCTCTCTCACATCCATGTTGCTCTCTCTCTCTTCCTCTCTCTCCCTCCCTCTCCTCCACTCTCTGAAAAGCAACGGAAAAATATCCTCTAGTGAGGATTAAAAAAAAGGCAAAAAAACCCCCAGCAGAGCTGTCACTTTATCTTATTTTTTGAAATACATCCCCAGATACTGTTAGTTCTATTTGCTAATATTTACATAGAATAATTGCAACTAAAGTTTTAAGTGTTCTTTAGTTCTTTTGTTTTTGTTTTATTATTGAGGTCCATAAAGAATCTATTTCTCTTTTGTAGGTCTTTTCTAAATGTTATCTTTTGAGTTCATAAGGATTCATTTATTCTTTTTTACATACTTTTTTATTTCCTTAATTTAAGCTTTTATTTAAAAATATTTTAAAAAGAGTTTTCTACCATGGGAGAAGCATTTTTCAAGGCATTCCTGAAATAAAGAGAAAATTAGAAAATTAAAAAAAAAAAGGTATGGGTTTGACTATGTTTGCATTTATGTAAAACTGGATATCTGCATATATAATACACATAAACTAAAGCTGTACCGAAATGCATTGTGGGTATGTTTTCCTGCTACTTTTAAAAAAACTCTTCTACAAAAGTTCAAACTTAGAAGAGTGCTTTTATTTTATGTATATATTGATATTGAATAAGTGACAATGTTGATAAATAAAAAAATCAGGTTTAATTCTACTCCATTTTGAGACAATTATTTCCTAGTTCAAGAAAGTTATGTATATGAGGCTCAACTTGCAATATTAGTAAGGAGCCAGCGATTATTAAGATATATGAGTCATTAAATGAAAAATATAGTTTTAAGTTTTACTAATAGATTTAACTCAGGCAGAACATCTGGTTTAAACAAATAATTACTCCTGGAATTATGTTTGTGAACATAATGCTCTTTTATGGATTTGCCAATTCCCCCCCACTGTCACTTCTATCGTTAGCCGGTTTTTGGTTTTAGGAAGCATTTGAGAATTAGTGGTGCATCTGGTATAAGCTAAATAAAAGAATGTAGGATCTAGAGCATCTGGGGTTTTGTCCTTTCAGTGTCTCGGTGAGACCAAGTTTCATAATTCCTCCATTTTTAAGGCTGAATAATGTCCCATTGTTTGTATATACCCCCGTTTTAATCCAGTCATTCACTGATGAACATTTGGGGAGCTTCTACCTCTTGTGAACAAAGCTACTGTGATTATAGGTGTGTGAATATTTCTTTGAGGCCACACTTTCCATTTTTTTTTTTTTTTTTTTTTTTTATATACAACAAGAAGTAGGATTGCTGGATGATATGGCAGTTTTATTTTTAAGTTTTGAGGAACCACCATACCATTTTCCATAGCAACTGCACTATTTTGCAATTTCAGCAAAACTGCACAAGTGTGTCAATTCTCCACATCTTCACCAAAACTTACTATTTTCTATTATTTTGATAATCATCATTCTTATGGGTGTGAGCTGATTTTTCATGGTTTTTATTTGCATTTCTCTATGAATTAGTTACGTTGACTATCTTTTTATACGCTCATTGCTATTTGTATATCATCTTTGGAGAAATGTCTATTCAAGTCCTTTGCCAGTTCCTACATCAGGTTTATTTTTCTGTTGTTGAGTTGTACGGGTTCTTTACATATTCCTGATATTGACCCCTTATCAGGTATATGATTTATAAATATTTTCTCTCATTTTGTAAGTTGCCTTTTCACTCTTTGGTTGTTTCCCTTGATGCGCATAAGTTTTAAGTTGTATATAAACCCATTTTCTGATTTTTGCTCTAGTTGCCTACGCTTTTGTTGTCATATCCAAGAATTATTGCCAAATCCAATGTCATGAAGCTCTTCCTCTATGTTTTCTTTTAGGAGTTTTATAGTTTGGCATCTTATACTTAGATCTTTAATCAATTTTGAATTAATTGTTTTATATATTGTAAGATAACAGTCTAACATTAATCTTGTGGATATCTAGTTTTCCCAACACTATTTGTTAAAGAAACTGTCCTTTAAAAATAATACTTATGCCTAACACTGCTTCAAAACTCCATTACATACAAATTCTACTATTAGAATTTTTAATTTAATGTACAGCCAAAGACGCTATTACTACATCATATATTTACCTTTTAAGTATGATGATACATGTATTTTAATAGAATTTATTTTTCTTGTAATCCTTTGTAATACATATCATACATTTATTAATTTTATGCATTTAAAATATAACATCTTTATTTTTCTGCCTATTTATTCATTTAAAAATGTTATAAGAAGGGGACTCTGGGTTTCACTATACTGCCACAAGGGTCTGTGGCCTCAAAAAATATTAAGAATTCAGAGATTTTTTTCAGTAACCGGCAACAGATGAAGTCTTGAACTACAGCAATGAAAATAGGAACTATGTAAAATCAAGAAATAAGAAAATTCATCATGATTTAATGATTAAATAAATTCCAAGACTGAGGAAAAGGTGAAGTCAATGATAACTGCCCAATTTTAAACTGGGGTGACTGAGTGGTTGGTGGTGTGTAGCTCTGCGAATCATCAGGGTAGAAGTTGCATTTAAAACCATGGGAGTGCCTGTGATCACCCATGGGGAGAATTAAAGGAAGAAACTGACTGAGGATAAGCCATAGGTAATCAATATTCAAAGACCAGCCAATTCATTATCATCTGCTATGGAGACACGCAGTATATAAAATGAGTCAGCAAACAGAACCAGCATGGAAAGAATTAAACTTCGATGAGCAAGTGGTAGTTAATTTGTAAAGGACCATTCATTATGACTCCACTTTGCATTTGTAATTTTTGTGCTTGCAATTATTTGCAGGCAAAAAGAAATGCAGCTCTGGTTGTCTAATTATAGGCGCAACCATCCAAATTTGCCCTGAAAAGAACAGCACAAAGAGATGCCATCTGGGAAAGTGCAGCCAACCCCTCAGACCTCTTTTCCTCCAGCTTCCTGGGAGGCTGGTGGACACCCTTCCTTTTACCCTCTGCCCCGGGCTCTCTTCTTGCCGGATCTTGTTCATGCATTCGGGCCAGTCCTTCTAACAAGCTGACACTCAGTGGGCCTTTCTTCTTATCAACCCATTAGGCATTTTCTATACGCAATGTACCATAGTCTGAGCAGACTGAAAATGAAAGCCATTTCTGAAACATAGCATTTGCCTTGTTGGTGTGAACAAATTCAATCTTTTATTCACATGTAATTTTACAAGGTAGGCAACTTGAACACTGTAAAGATGAAATCACATACAAATTTCTGCTCAAAGGCGACAAGAAAATTATGTTACTATACTTTTTAAAAGAAAAGTTTCAGCCATTTATTGAAAACACAGCTGTCAGTTTGAATCAAATGTATTCGTATTTCCCCATTAAATTCTTAGGGCCATGATGAAACTTAATAATTGTCCCTTGGAGTTTGATTTCCTATAAAGCGTCATAACACGATCAGTACAATTTCAGATAATTGTTGAACTGTGTGATGATAGTTATGATTTCAGGTGGGAAATATAAAATAATAGATGAGAAATATAAAACCCAGGTTAGCACTTGATAAAGTTTCTGTTCTCATACAAACATCAGTAGTAATAAATGTGGGGACAACGTAGCCTGCTTTATGAAAATGACACTCATTCCTGGCATAAAAAGTTTTAAAGGTTTTAATGATAGTTCAAATATCACAGGCTTATCATTTAATTATATTAAAACACTTTGAATCTGATAAATCCTCTGTGGTGGAAATAATACATTTTTAGGATGGGAAATTGGGTTGTTTATTTGACTGACTAGAACCAGAAAATGACATATTTCTCCTATATAAAATCTATATTTCTACACTCTACTTATCGTGTTTTGGGTTCTCATGAAGGTTTTAGGGGCAAATGAAGGCTTAGGAATTAATTCTAAAAGGTTCAAAAGTTTGTTCATTTTAATTATAATAAATAGGAAGGCACATTGTTGTTCCACTGCCTTAATCTCAGTGGTGTATGGGTCACAAAGAGTTAACCAGTAGTTAGGCACCAGCCTTAAGTTTATGGACAATGGGGCACACGCTTAGACACTGAAAATATGGTAACATAATTTAGAGTTATCGAAAGGGGTCATGTTAAGAAAATGAGAACTCTGTAAAGGGGAAGTATCAATCCAAAAAGAGAGTTAATTAGAAATAAAAGATTGTTCTGTCATAAAAAACTGAAGATTTCAATGGATATGATTGAAATTCAAAGTATTATTAATGGCGTGATAAACAAAAGCTGCTCATTTTCACAAGAGGTAGAAGAACATTCTCAGACATTCGAAAGGACAATGCTACTCACATCCTGAGCTACCATTGGTCGACACCAGGGTCAAGTTGGAAGGCCACGGGTTCCGAACAATGTCTTGCCAATGAATTGTGTCTGCGTAACACAGAAATTTGTTCTGGTCTACATAGACGCCGCCATTTAGGATTTCTGTATTAAAACAAAGAAACAGATTTGTCGTCAAACTTTCTGTTGATGAAAAGGTAGTCAATCGAAATGGTTTACACTTAAAATGTTTTCAGTGTTAAATTAGAGTTATTTTGTTAATAGTCAGGATATTTTTTTAAATATGTGTTACTGAGTCACATAAATTAAATGGCAGAAATTGAAGAGATAAAAAATACAAAGAAAAACAACCACTCATAACCCAAATGTTCAGAGAGAAAACAGTCTTAACATTTTGGCATAGACACTATCAGTCTCTTTTCTTCTAAAATCAGGGTAATATTGCCCATACTATTTCATAACCTGCAAATTGTAATAGTAAATGGTGAATAGTTAGTGGCAATTAAATAAATTCCTATACATTATTTCTAGTGAGAATATACCAGAGTATAAACTAAATAGGACTTATTTAACCAATCTCCTCTTGTTGATTATTAACTTGTTTATCTCAGATTAGTTCTTTAAAATAAGTTTCCATAAATGATATTATAAGATCATACAGTATGAGTATTTTTAAGGCTTTTGGTCCAAGTTATCAAATTTCCCTTAAGAAAAATTGTTTCAGTCAATGTGACATTGACTAGAATCCGTAGGTAAATAATTAGCCCCAAACAGAAGCTAAAATTAATGACTGCTTCAATCACAAAAATGTTCTTTGTCTTGAATGGAATCAATAGAATTGCCAATTATTCTCTGAGAATAACACAATGTGAGATAGAATAAAAACGCTATGTTCACTGAACAATGGCACGGCTGTGGGATAAAATGCACTAGTGCCAACTTTTACTTGTTTATTTCACAACACTTGCCTTGATCAGGTAACTTGTCTCCCTGAACAATGGTTGATCATATACCTGGATTCTCTTTTGGTCAGCTTTAAGTTAGCCAGAAAAAAAAAGTAAATATTTCTTCTGAAAATACTATTGTTATTATCTGAAGAAATTAGTTAGAAATATACGTAGCACCTTCCCGCTCAATATCTACCACATTTTCTCCTCTTGTTTAATAAAAAAAAACAACTTAAGATAAGCCATACACCAGTCTATAAAGCATTCAGTTACAAGTACCCCAAACCCAATTAATAGCAGATAGGGGGTGGTTTTTCTCCTGTAATAATCAGAGACCTGTAGACAGCAGTTGCAGATATTAGTTGAGCTGCTCCGCAGGCCCCACTGCCTGCCTGAGAGCTGGCTCTGCTCTCTCCAGGCACGAGACCGGCGTTAGTCTGGAGTCAGGGCCTGTGAAGAAAGGGGAGCAACACGCCTCCTCCTCGGAAGGCTCCGGCCACCTATCCTGGAAGACATGCTCTCCTCGGGAATTAAGTCTGCACTTCACTGGCCAGTGCAATATCCACAGCCATTGTTAGTGCAAAAGAGGCCGAGGAAGCAAGTATTCAGGTGGACGCGTTGCTACACGAACAAAACCCAAACAAGCATGAGTGTTAGGGAGGAGGGGGAGGACCATAGATATTGGGGAGGCAAGCGACTCTGTCTCCCGTGGTGGCCTTGAGAGGACCCTGCACAGTATCTCAAGCGAAATTTTTATGAGTCAGCTAAAACCAACAGGGGAGATAAAAGATGAAGCGGACAGGTGACACCGTAAAAGGGGTGTTTGTGAAAGTGAGACCAGGGGGCCCATCTAAATTGCCTCTGTGCTGCATGTGTAAAATCCTCCAGATTTAGTTTGACATTGCACAGCTTTCCACATTTAAAATCACTCATAGTTCCATCATCAATCCTTTCACCGACTATCAGCTCCATTTTCTCAAGTGAGAAAAAATAAAGAAACAATAAGGAATTAGATAATCTTTCTCCTTCTAAAACTCAGTTCATTATTTTTCATAACCTACCCACACAACCTTCATCAAAGCAGAAGGGAGATGTAAGATGTAAGAACGATTGTGAAAATGAATGTCTACGTTAATGTTTGGCATTAAGTTTCTATCTAAGAAATGTGACGATCTCATACTAATAGCTTTCTCATGAGACATTAGGTGATGCACTTCTATAGGAGTAATTCTTCATTAGGCAACAAAGAAAGGAGATTTTGACTGCTTTCCAAGAAATAAAGGTTATTTTTCAGTCTAAGTTTGGAAAGTTCTACTTTAAAAAAAAAAAAGTGAAGAGAAAAGGTAATAGCTCACAGATTGTAGAAGAGCCTGTATTTTTCAGGAGTCACATTTTAATGCAAATAGTTTATACAGAAAGAACACAGTATCCATCTCTAACTTCCTATCTAGAAATATTCAAATAGAATCAGATTATATTATATTGAATAATAATCTCATCATATCCCTTCCTTCAACAATATTAATCTGCTACCAATGTTTACATTTGTTTCTTAGAAATATTCTGTTCAAGAGCTTGATTTGTACTTTGAAAGGATTTAGAAAGGAGGCACTAATAATTCAAGTATAATCTTACAGGCTAAAATTTCAAATTAAGACTGCAATCATGATAAGTACGGATACTTCTGTCATCCTAATTCAAAACCCAGCAACTGCTAGCAATTCTGATCAGGAGGATTTATAAATTTTTTGTATTTAATAATGGATAGTTTATTCGTCTGTGTGTGTGTGTGTGTGTGTGTTTACCTTAAAAAAGGTCTTTTTCCTTTATGTTTGGCTTAGAACCTATTCTTTACTGAATGTCAAACCCCACAATCAGAAAATGCGGATTTGATTGACATCTATAGGAGAGTTTTAATATATCTTACATTTTCTTTTGATCAATTTGATTACCTAACATGTCAAGATATAATGTTAAAATTGCATGTATTCGTTTGTATAGTTCACATTGACTTTTAAGACTTTATATGATTTTTAAATATTAATTTATTATGTTTTGTGGGGAAGTATTTAAATTTATTTCTAGAATAAGATAATTCTAGTGAAATGTATTAACCTATAAGAAAGTTCTTAAGACACCAATTACGTAATGGAAAAAATGGATAATTAATGTTTCTGCCTTGGTTGACTGTAGAGACATGATCACACTTTTTTATTAGAAAGGGGGACAAATATTAGAAAAAGAGAACAGCTTGATAAGATATTTATCTAAAAAGATACCAAAAACAAAATGTCTGGCTTTACTTTAGATCTGTCTTTGCTAACACAAGAACAGCAGAGCTTTCCATAAATATTATTAAGATTTATTGGAGGTACCATGTCTTTACACCAAGAGTTTCCCTCCCACTGCCATGAAATACAATTATAAATAATTAAAATTTAAAACCATGACAGAAAGGACAATTTCTAATTCCAAGCAGAATAAGCAAATGAGGTGCAAATTTAATTGATATTCAAACAAAGATGCATACAGTCTGGAAGAGTGAAAAGACAAAAAAAATTGAATAAGTAAATAAACTCAAGGTAATCTCATTCCACTGTATTTCACTTCCACTGTAGACAATATATTGGAGTAAATTAAGAGGGACACAATCAGATTCTGGGCCACTGGAACAATTGGTAGAAAAAAGCTACTATGAATTTTCTTATATTATATAAAAGTATTTCCAGTAATTTCAGAAGACAGTACTGTTTCTTCTTTAAAAAATGTCATGGCTAAATATAGTGAAGTATATTAAATGTGACATTCTATGAAAAAAGTATTTCATTACAGAAAAAGTCCAGTAAACAAATATGTCTGTGTCTCAAACATTTCCTACCAGATTAATGCAAGTCAAGTAAAAATATTATGAATCATTTTGTATTTAAAGTAAATTGTAAACCACACTATTCTTTAATATATTGAATTTAATATATGTATAGCACACAATTTGTAACTGAAAGATTAAACTCTGTGAAGGCAGGGGGTATTTTTCAGTCCCACATTTATAGCATCAAACCTAGAGCAATGGATATTTTTTAAATTGAGCTGAAAAATAAAAGTACCATGGAATTTGCCACCAACATTAACTTCTATTGTTGTTCCTAATTTTAAATTATGTTCTGATGAAATTAGATCAAGATTAAAAGTATCTTTTTCCATAGATACTCAATAGCTCATCTTATCTGGTTGTACATTTTATAAAGTTTGTTTCATTCAAAAGTGTGTCTAACATGTAAGCCACAAGCTAGATACACAACTATTTGTCTCATTAAAGAAAACTTAATATCTCGAGTTTAGGAAAAATCAAAAGTATCTACCTAATTTTGAGGTTAGAGCTTTTATAAGATAAAAAAGAAATAACAGTTACATAAAATGCTTTTAACTGATAATGTACAGAATTATTGCAGGCAGTGTGTTTAATATTTACAGTACACATTTAGATGTGTTCATTGGTATCCCTAACCTATTTTGTGAACCAAGTTCAATTATTTATCAAGTGAATCATGATTTTGCCCTACCCCAGACATACCAAACTCCCCCATACCTGTGCAAATTATCTAGCATATGCTACCCAGAAGTCTAAAATCATATTTTTATACTGAACCATAAGTCTACTTCATATCATTCCTTAAATTATTTTTTAAAAGGTCTAAAGTGTCAAAATGGCATTTTAAAGAGGGTATAAAGTACTAGTGACTTAGCTTCCAATCCCAAAAGTTGTCATTTTGACCAGTTCCTCCCTTGTTTCCCATTTGCATAAGTCTAATGAAGAAATAAATGTTTGTGTCATTTAAAGAAGTTCTTGTGTGCTCTTCATTTCTTTCCAAATGCTAGTTATTATAGTGAATTTGGGGATGAGTGACCATTAAGAGAATCATGGACATTTTGCAAATATATTCTCTCAAAAGGAAATGTGACAAAACACTGAATCGTGGCTTTTTCTCCTGCCCCGTATGAAATAGCCTAATTGTGATGTAGCATCCCTGCTGAAAATACAGATTAATATGACCTTTTTACTAGGCTTCAGAAGTTGACAAAATTGCTTTGACCCCATGCACAACTGGCAACCATTTCATAAAGAAGATTGAATGTCTTTCTCTCTTTATAGATTAAAGATTATAATGTTAAATGCAGTCAGCCATATTCCACTTCAGT